GTATTTTTACTGTAAGTAAATGTATTTTACTGTGGCATGAAATGACCTGTTTTCAAACACTGCTGTTTGTGATGTCACAAACAGTCCTCCAACCCACCCCAACCTGAGCCCAGCCCCTCTCCTGGTAACCCAAGCAGAGACTCCGCCCACTTCTTCACAGGAGGACGGTTCTGCTGTTTTAGAGCAGTCATGGAGAACAGGGATGTGTGGCTTCATTTGATTTTTATAAAATTTTATTTTTTTACAATTTTTGATAGCAATGTTCTTGCAATATTAACAAAGAAAGTTGTAGTTTGTGTAAATAATTTTTCCATGAACCAATTTGGAAAAATACTACTTTCTACTGAAAGGAAACTGAAAGTAAACTTCTGGTGGAGGGCGGAGTTAATGTAAAGAAAAGGTTGGGAGGGGGGTCCATTGCAACTTATGCACAGCAGCACGTTCTGAAGAGAGCTCAGAACAGGCACAACTGAAAAGGTGAAATTTCATTATCTGARATTCATTTTGTGAATTAAATCAAGTGAACATGTTTTGTATAGCCCACAGATTGATCCTAACTTGTCAGGACCCCCATGTTTGGTCACCTTTAAGTGAAAACACCAGCTGGATTCTGCTTCACTCACAGTCTGCAATACTTCTACAACACTGCATCTCCTAAAGATAATAGTCGACTAATGTCAGTAAGCACTAGGGTCTTTGCTACGTATCTCCATCAGTTTGGTGGTCCCAGACTGAAAAACACTGAAGACCCCTGCTTTAAAGCATTCATAAAAATAAAACTACTCATTCAGTTTACCATGGTTTAGGAACACAACATACTCTCTCTCATTCTCAGAAAAAAAGTTCACTTTTTTTGAGAAATATTTTCTTATAAGAAAAAGCCTGGATTCAAACACAAAGTTGGTGAATTTTCCAAATGGAGTTTTAGATGAAAATTCAACTCTGGAAAACTAACTGGTCTCACCTGCTCCATCCTGCAGGTGAGGCCTACCCCAAATCTCAAGCAGCTCATCGGAGCCTACATCATCTCACAGTGCTTGCATCCTCTGCCGGGGTCTGAGCGCCAAACTCGAATTCACGTCAATAAATTTACTTCTTAATTGCAGTCTGTCTTTGTGTGAGTCTCTCCAGGTTGAAATACATGTTTTACAGCTCCTATAACTCCAAGGTGTAAACACCAGATGCAAACGTGTAAAAGTTTCTGGGTTTTTAAGCAAAACTAATTGATTATTGAACTACTCCAACATAGATGTCCACGTGAAATCAACTCTATGTTCTTTTACTGAGCAGATTAAAGCTGGGAAGAGCAGTTTACTGGCTGAGTTTATTCAAAACAAATGGGTTCAACCTGTTAAAATATGTAAAGGAGACATATCATGCTTTTAAATCCTTCTCTTTCACATTTAAATCATTCATCTGGAGTGTATATATAGTGGAATTTGTCCTTATTGTAATTCCACAAGCCCCTCATTCACCACATTCTGAAGTGTATCAGATCAAGTCATTTTGAGGATGTATCTTTAAATCCAAATGAGATGCTTCACACCCCGACCCCCTMCAACTTCCAGACCGGTCCACTCTAGTGTTAAAGAGGGCTTTACGACTATATAGCAGAGCAGAAACTTTTTATTTAGTTCATCCAGCCTTACATGTTGGAGAGAGTCTGACCCAGAGCWAGAGGAGAATGAAGATAAAAACATGAGAAAAAGTTGTWGTGGGTAAGTCCAGACCTTATTTGGCAATTCCGTCACAAATTCTTCACAATTCTCATAAAATGAAAAGAGAAAACTGAATGGGTTGAAAAATATGACCCAAAAAATATATAAAGATATCTATGCATCATCAGGAGAGACTAAATTCAACTCTTCTGCACTCCTAAAGACTCCAAGTACACAACAAAATGTTTTCAATGGCTATAAAACTAATTTTGTATGATGTCCCCTTTAAAAACCCTGAAAACCATTAAACAATTAAAAAATAAGAGTAAATTATCCCTGAAATTGCAAAATTGCTATAGAAAAATGACAATGTATAAAATGAAACTAGATAGTATGAATATTTTTAATTTGAACTTCAGTTTTTAACAAATATAATGTGATATTGTTGATATTTGATGAAAACTGATTAAATATCAAAATATTTTTTCCTCAAAAGAAGTGTAAGTCCATAAGTAGACTGTTAAAAATGAATGGGGAAAGTGCCGTATTTCACTGTTAATACTATGATGACAATCTGGGTCATGGTGGATTGATTTCCTGGACACACTATTTTCCTTTCATATCTCCAATTACGCAGAGAAAAACAAGTCTTTCACGGACATTACAAACAGACAACCATTGATAATTGTTTTAAAAAAGTGCTGAATCTTTTATTGCTGCTGTTTTCTTTTACAAGTATACGGAGTGCAGAAAACAACATTGACTCTCCGGCTCGTCTCAGTCACCCTCACCTCCATAAACTCATGGCCATGTCTAACAACACCCTTGAAGGGCTGGAGCCTGATTTTTGTGCATTTTTATCACTGAGCAAGTCTACTTTTCAATTCTCCAGTCGCACTCAGTGTGCACCGTTCAGAGACGAGAGAGGCTCAGCCATATTTCAGACCTGTAAATCACAAACAGCTTGTCATTTATGAGCTCTCGTAGGATGAGACAGCACTCAAACATGTGGTCTTTCATTCACTGTGGTTGTCATAAAGCTGCCAACAAAGATGACTGTGTTCTCCTCTCAGATGTAAAGGAGCTCAAACATCACTTTGGTCTCTGCAGCCAGCTCCAAATTTGGTTGCCATTGTGAACTCATTGATCCAAACCCACTGATATTAGGAATGAGGAATAAGCTAACCAGCCTCACAGCTGTCATACAGGCAGAGCAGGAACATTTTGAAGTGAACTGAAGTGAGGGTTGGATGGCATTTACGCAAAAAAAAAAAAAAAAAAAAAACGTAAAGTACTTACCACAAATCTGGTGAGGCCCGTACCGCCTGCATTCCCAACAAAGATCCCCGAGCTGGCATCGAACGTCAAGGGATGGGCACTCCTGGTGAAGGCCACTTTGTGGTATTCTTCACAGTCCATGTAGAGACGGATCTACAAGGAGGGGACATGCACATATGCTTGAATAGTATAAGATAAACAGAACGCTTGCTACAAATGAAATGTTTTACAGTTATATGCACAAGGTTATTGTGGGCAAAATCTTCACAAACTGAGCTGATTAATATAAATCTCAAAAATAAAATTGACTTTGCATCATAGTTTATATAAACACCTTGAAATTGGCCTCTGTTTGTTTAATAATTCCCTACCATTTCTGACACTCCCACTTCAGCACGTTTTCACAACAGTGCTTCATGTCATTTACCATCTTTCGTGGCAGCATTGTGTGTTGTTGTAAAAAAAGAAGCACCATTATATAATATTGGTTTTGAAAAATGGCAACTCAAACACAATTGAACCTTACTCAAATGATCCTACGATGGACCTGGAAGGTACTTTTTCTGATGAAGTGGAGCGAGTACAGAGGCTCTTACAWGATGTTTCAKCTTGGTAATATATCTCCCAGTCATCCTCYCATACATATACRTCACTATTAAGCTACTCTTTGCAAAGAAATAGATCATTATGAAGCTATGGTTTGCAATGAAATCACACACATCCACATTTTTCAGGTATGTTTACCTGGTTTGGTGGAGCTGTGTGTGTGTGTGTGGGGGGGGCATGGGGGGAGGGGTGCATGAGTTCATAGCTGATTCTCAGCTACTACCACATCAATTTTCAGCTTACTGAACAATGGACTGAATTATTGCCATCAGCTTCACTCCAATGGTTAGTTGAAGATGTATGACCAAACACTGAGAATTTCATTTAAAAAAATGTTGACTGGGTCTTATGTTTTTTTTTTTTGTTTTTTTTGTTAAGAGGCCAAAACAAACACAAATAGACATGTGCATTGACATGACCATATGTCTTTTATAATAGAGTGAAATAGTAAAAAAAGAAAACAAAATAAGTGTAAAAGGGTATTTACAGTATGTGTTTGTACACCAAGTCCTTGACTCCTGATTGGCAAGCTCTTTATCCTGATCTCAAGCTTCCGTACACCAAAAACATCTTTTTATGTCCTCATCAGTGATTCCAGAAAAATAGAAGCATATTTGGCACTGCTTACGATGACAAAAGTTATTAACTGCTGTCCTTAYAACAGAGACCAAAGAGCATATTTTGATCTCTTTAACTGATGTATTCATGTCARTCCAGGAGTGCATCCAAAAACGCTGCAGACGTTGTTCCCATTCATGCAGCTGGGAGGAGTCAGTTTAAACAGACTCTTGTGATGTATGGAAATACATTTCTAAGTGATGTGAAGCTGCACATTGATGCAGTTGGTTAACACTGTTACTTTGCAGAAAACAGATCCTGGGTTTGAAGTAATGCTGGAGCCCTTCTGTGTGGAGTTTATATATATATATATATATATATATATATATATACCGTATATAGGTGGTGACAACATGTCCTGGGTGTACCCTGACTGCTGTTTATCAATTGCTGGTAAATGGCCCTATTTTACTCACCTCAGCACCTTGTACAGTGAGTGTAAACCTTGCCCATCTTCCTGTCAAGTCTCCCATTTTAAATGAAGCTGCTTCCTGCGTTCCATCTCTTGTTTCTGGATCAGTGTAGTACAATATTATGCTCTGGGCACCATCCTCCACTTCAGATAAAGCTACACCAAGCTGCACAATCTAAAAAATACAGGCAAAGAGTTAAATATGCATATTTTTTCTTTCTTTTATTGGAAACAAGAACATTTAAAAAAGGTGAGAAATCTCACTTTCTGATAGGCATCTGTGATAGCGAAAAGTACGCCGCCACGTCGGGTGGTGGGTTTGGCTGTGACAGTGATGGCAAAGTCGTGATAAAATGGGTCAGGGATGAACGACTTTGTGAGGCGKCCCACGTTTGCATATGGACCAAAGCTGTAGGCAGGGTAGCCCTCAAAACCGGTAACAAAGGAGATGGAGGGCGGGAGGGGAACGCCAATCAACTCTGTCAGGTCCAAGTCACTTTGAGAACCGAGACCTGGGGGGGAAAAAAGAAAATGAAAGAAAAAAAAAACAAACATGGGAAGCTGAAAATGTGTTGGTGGAGTGGAAAAGAAAGCACATTTCTCCATTAAAGCCTATACGAGGTCATCAGTGGCCTCCTGACATTCTTATACAGAAAAAAATAAATGGAGTCTTTAAGCAAAAAGCAGCAAGAAGCCTGACTGCTGCCATCTGGAAACAATAGAAAGGGCAAAAGGGAAACTCGCTGGTTAGTTTTACTTTTACTGACTGTCAGACACGGTTACGTTATTCACGTCAGTCAAAGTTTTAATTTTATACATTTTTTTATTTCATTTCATGGAAAGTATGCATAACTGAAAATTACWATCAAAAAGATAAAGCCCTTAAAGATGCAGGTCAGTGTAGACATTTTAACATTTTTTTTAATTGATGATGTATTTCCCTGCATGATAACGTAATTCGTTCAAAAATCAAACAGCTTTTTGAGACAAATGGCTCCACAAAATGCAGATCCCTTCAAATAGCCATCGATCCCATCTTTAATCCAAACCACTACACACATTCCTTACTTCTGCTAATGATAAAAAGCTAAAGAAACATAAAATTGGCAGGAGCTAAAGCTAAGCCACTAATATTTTACAAATTATATACATATACACACCCCTCTAGAGTTCAATTCCCCTATAGTGCCCTGGCTCAGACCTCTCAATGATGGTGTGTCAGTCAATGAGGAAACTTCAACACAAGGATCAAGCCAAAACACAATGTGGAAAATGACAAACGTAAGTCAATACAACTCAAAATGTTTTATATATACAGATAAAAGTGTGCATGTTCCTTTTATAGGCGAAATTGGAGAAAATAGTTTATTTCAGTAAAGCTAGGAGGCGGAGTTACAACCAAGTTGCTGACTTGAAGCAGGAAGTTCAGAGCATAGTGGAGAGGGGGGGGGGGCAAATTACAGCCTTTGAAATCATGTTTCTGCTAATTTAGTTCTTATATATAAACATTATAACAGTCATTATCAGTATATCTTTTATGAAGGAGTATTTATTAAAGCAGTAGTCAGTACAAGTCTGTGGATGCAAAGCTCAAAAGTTTGAATGAACTTTGTTTAGGACAAATGATTAAAGTAGAGTATGAACCATACAAACAAGGATCTAAATACAGTTTTTGCCATTTTGTTAAAAACTTTAGTCTGAGATTTTTTTCAGATGGGAAACTATTCATGTGACAATATCCAAATGGTGATTCCTGTCAGCAAACACACTCTTTAGACGACGTGAGAAGAAATCAACTGACTGATCAATCACAGTATTGCAGAAAATAAACAAATCAGTTAAAACCAGAAAAAAGTGGTTGCTTAAATAAGTTTAATCCGTGGACTTTGCCACTGCTGGGGTTTAGAACTGCTGTACAAAATAGTATATATTTTTATTTATTATTATTTTTTATTTTTCACAGTTTTTCAAACTACAAATCTAAAGGTCATAAATGTTGCTTTAAAAATTACTACTGATTGCCATTTACTGTAAAATAATAGGATGTGGCACATGTAAACCTTCCTCGTGTTAGCGTTCAGGATTTAACTCTTTTGGAGTTTTCAGAAACACCCTGAAAGGTTTGCCAAGAGCCTGACCAAGAAAAAAAAGGGTCTTCTATCCATCAAACCTGTTATTATATTTTCTAAACTCCTGATCACAGCTCAGCCCACATTTACATTGTTTTTTCATCAGTCAGTCAGTCTTCCACACACAAATTCCCAGTCATGCCACGGTGTTTGTCCAGGGGCCGTTAGCACACTGCTGATGCTCACCTACCACAACAACTGAGTTTCCTCCACACCTGGTTCTCCTTAATGGGAAGACCCCTGGAACAATGGCTTGTTCTTTCAGTGTGCGTGGGGAGCAGGTTATAAAGTCTGGGCAGCTGGAAGGCATTAAGTTAGTCTAAAACACACACACACACACACACACACACACACACACGCTGAACAGTGGCAGCTTCTGCAAATTACACTCACCACACGGCGTGTGTTTGTCTGTGTGTGAAGGAGTGACAAGGAGATGAAAAAAAGTGGAAAAGATATAAACTTTGCCACAGAGCACAGCATAAAGTGTGYGGTCAGTATGGTTAGTAACTGCTGGGGAGGCACACTTCTTTTTTTACTGCTTACACTTTAATTGGATGGAAACCCCTGCAGGCTGATGTAAAACTAACAATGATTTGCAAGTCAAACTGGGTAATTCAGCTGTGTAACCTCTTCTGCTGCGGAGTGGTCCWGTTTGACTGCATGGCATTGCATTTATTCCGGTTAAATATGCAAAAATGATACAAAAGCTGCATTTGTAACACATATTGGAATCCTTTTTTCTTATAAATGACACACAAACAAACCTAAAATCTGGTGAAACTACTAATATTTTGAGCTTAATTTAACAACATGAAAAATGTTGGTGGATCCTGGTTTTGTTCCATTTATTAGACGGTAATTATGAAGCTGATTAAGCAGTAAATGGGCCATACTTATACAAACTTTCTAGCCAACCAGGCAACTCAAACCTCTTAACTCATTTATCCACGCTCACACCTAATACGAATAAATTACTCTATAGRATATTATAATTTAGATCATATTTATACACAGATGGTACACATTGCAGGAWATGAGAAGCTCAGTATCTTGCCCAGGGATACTTTAACATGAGACTGGAATCAAACTTCCAACTATTGCATTGGAAGACGATGCTCTGCAGAGCCWCAGCCGCCCTGATTAGTGTGCAGTGAAGCCCATGCAAGCTACAGCAATGTGGGACCCATTTCCCAAGTACTCTTTGACCCATTTCTGGTTCCAAACACTAAACCCTGGAATCAGAAACTGGTGAGTGACTCGCTGGCAGCTCTTTCTTTCTGGACATGATCGTTGCTCCGAAGCTCTGCAGTGCTATTCACTGCTTCAGTCTTGCCAAAGTGTGTCTGCCAGAATTCCCACAGCGCAGACTGTCGCTTAGCTCTGACTCTTGTCTCTGACTTCACTGCAGATGTTGCTCCACTGGTTCAGAGGCCTAACAGCTGGACCAATCACCTTGGAAACACATAAAACAATCCATTGTGTTCCCTCTGAGTTCTCATCGTGCAGCATGGATGTCGTGAAGGTTTTTGGAGAGCAGCTTTTCATGCATCATCTTAACGACATCGCTGTGAGCAGCCAGCTGATTATGCTGAAAGAGCCCGGCCTTCTTGTTGTTATATGGATCTCTTAATCCCATCAGACATCATGAAAGCAGAGCAGCAAAGTGACCCACAGCAACGGCTATGAGAAACTTATTTAGGTCAGGGCGTGTTCTCTCAAAGCAATCAACTCTGGCCAAGCTTTGTGCACCACCTGCGCTTGAATGCAGCTCAAATGACCCGTGGATTCAATTTAAGTTGAAAGTGAGGAAATGAAGAACAAGATGTTGCCRTGTGATTATGCTTTTTAGTCACTGGAGATTTGCACAACCTCTTGTACGGTAAACTCCTTTTTCTTGGGAAAAACGAGCATGTTTGACCAGCTGTCAGAATGCATTAAACAATTTAGCAAAAGTCAGCTGTGCAGAACTCAAATGAGGATAACGTCAACAAAATAATTTTTTCAAGGATGGATAGCAATGATTCAAATTGTGTGCTATCTGGACATGAAAATAAAAATACCATACATAAAACWGTGGTGACAATGGGTGTGGTAGTCCAGGCTACCATTGTTAGTCTGTAATAATGAGGAAAAAGTATGTGCTACTCATCCCATCATTGTGCAATTATGTGTTAACAAAATAATTTAATCCTGTAAAAGTAACCCAGAACAAAATGATGTCATATTCATGGAAGCATTTAGTGATCTGAAAAGCTTAACATTGCTGTGAATGCACCACATTCAAATTATTGTTCAACTATTGTGTTAAACTCTAATGTTGTAGTAGTTGAGAGACCCTTAATGGCAGTTTGCAAATAGAAGCACTCTCAATTTTGCAATATAGGACTAAAACGAAACAGGATTTTCCATTAAAAGATAGGATCTTTTTTTAAAGAGATCTCATTTCTTTCCTTCACTTAAAGACAGATCTGACATCCTGCCATTTAAAAAGGCTCACTGTTTGACAGAAGAGTAGCAACACTGGCCGTAATGTGTCATGAGACGCAGACAGCTCGAGGTAAATCGCTAAGACCACACAGCTTGTGTATTTAATCTGGTAATGTACCTTTGCATGTGTGAGACCCCATTTAGCACAGAGGTGCTCTGTTTGCACTGAGCTTCAGTGCCAAATCTGCATCGTTCCTAAGTAAAGTACAGCAACAGTGTCAGAGATGAAGTGATCCTGTTCAGAGTACTGACAAAAACAAAACCAYGGTTCTCTTGTATAAATATTTCACATACATTTATTTTAATCATGCTAAAGGAAATAGAGAATGTCAAGTGTACACATTGGTTTTCCTGATTAAGATTTATAATGGCTAAGATATTCAAAAATGTGTAACCATTATGTTTATGAAAAAGCAAATAAAAACAAAACAAAACAAAATTTAAATAAATAAATAAAAAACATGCAACATGTGCACATATAACAATCCTGTATGTTGGCTAAAAAAAGAAGCATACAACACTCATCAGACACAGTCAAAATAATACGCCTGCATACCCAGAAGTAGAAAAAAAATACATTCAAAAATCCTGAATGTCAGCAAGCTACCAATTCTGCAAAATTTAACACAGCTTTTCTGAGATGCTTTTATCCAAAACAGACAGCCTGCGGTTGATATGAACTCCATTTATTGATCCCAGCGGGGAAGTAGATTACATGGTGTTGCAAGCACCTTCGTGGTGCAAGTCAACCATATGAGCCACACATGGAGAGAAAGACTGTCAAGATTAGGATTTATATGGGAATATGTCTCCTACTGTTCAGAATCTGGACTACCATAAATAGAGTCAAAGAAAAGAAATCCCTTTTTTTTCTTCTTCAGAACCATTGTTTG